CTCTGTTACTTTCCCACCAAAGATGGTCCCTATTTTTCAACTTGCATTTTTTTACCTGCTTTCGAACTGCTAGGCTGGCAGAAACTGGGACAAGTAACGGGAGCTCACTCCGTTATGCGACGCTAGGGATTCGAACCGTTGAACTGCCAACCTTTCTGATCTACAAGTTTGGCATCTTAGCCACTGAGCCACCGCATCCCTTGCAAGGCTATATGCACAAATGTTTGTAAACTCGCAAATCCAGCCTGTATACAGTAATGAGAAGCATTTTAAAGAACTCATTTCTGTATTTATACCATGCTAAATCATAATATGTTTTGCCATTTTTGGGGTAAAATAAATGTGTGAACCCAACCAGTTTATGGCTTGACATAACATGTAACACCCAAAGCATTGCAATTTAAAACAGTGCTAAAAAAAAAGTAGCTTACATACCAATCCTCACATTTACAACCATTACAGCATCCCCTGGTCACATGATCAAAATCTGGGTGCTTGGCAACCGGCATGTATTTGTGATCATTGCAGCCTCCTGCGATCATGTGATTACCATTAATGACTTTCCCCAGCCAGCTTCTGATAAAGTCAAGGAGGAAAGCTGTATTTGCTTAATGGCATGATTCACTTAACGACAGCAGCAAAAAAAGGTTAGAAAATTAGGCACAACTCACTCAGCAACCACTTTGCTTAATAATATACATTATGGACCCAACTGTGGTTGTAAGTCAAGGACTCTCTTATATTTTACTAAGCACTGTTTTAAAACCTGAGCTTATTTATTCGAAAAGAAAAATAGCACTTTTAATCATTTGACTGGGATAAGAGACCCTTAAGTTGAAAAATATCAGCTGCTTAATTCGGGAATACTCCTGGAACCAATGTTGCCAGGTAATTTGGATGGTGCTACGTGGTTTTTCTCCAGGACAACTATTTAGCCTGGTCCATAGGAATAGTAGTATGGCCTAGTAGCTTTAGTGCTGGACTGCAAGAACATATGGCATATAGAATTGCCTTTAAAGCATATTTAAGCCAGCATTGGGGTATCAAGCCTGCTTTTGACTCCTGGCAACTATCTGGACAAGTATCTTCTTGGTAAGATTTCAGAAGTTGTTTGCCATTCCCTCCTTCCTAGGACTGAGAGTTTATGACTGGCCCAAGGTCACCCAGCTAGCTTTATATCCAAGGCAAGACTGCAACTCCCAGGTTCCTAATTTCTAGCTTGCTGTCTTAACCACTAACCAGAATGGTTCGGCTGGTACATATTATCTGACATCTCTTGGTTGTGAGAAAATGTTAATAGAACACCCGTCCTACGGAAGCAAAACTAAAGCAGTCTTTTCAAGCATTTCAGCTTTGATCATTTTGTTATTATTTGCCCGGACATTTTAAGATGGTAAGTTTATACCAAACTGTATTTTTATACTGCCTTTTAATTTTACGATTTTTTTTTGGCTAAGGTGTTTATTTTGCAAAGTACTCAAAGTAATGGTGTCGCATAGGTATGCAATTTATTTACATATGTACAAGAACACATCCACACACACATTTTTGTGATATATTTTAATGAAGAGTAATTTATAAATATGATATAAATAAATAAATACATACATAAGCAAACAAGCTCACTTCCTAGAAATAACTTTCAATGAAGCCAAACACTAAAATCAAGCCTTGGACATTGTCCATTAAATAACTTGCAAGACCCACAAACCACACACACACACACACACACACACACGCTTAGATGGCAAGTTTTTCCTGCATCTAAACATGCTACCTTGGGGAATTCCTGTGCAAGTACACTATTTCAAGTGAAGTTTTATTGGTTAAATGACCAAGCCTTTCTCCTCAAACTGCACCATGGGTATCATTCCACTGAAACTTACTACCAAAAAAGGGAACTAGTAAAATTGAAACAAAACTCAAATATTTAAACCATTTTTTCGCTGTACACTCAGCTAAGTAATGCAAGTTAAGAAGCATAAGCCAAACAAGATCTTGGAGGATGAAATAGTTATAATTCTCAGCATGAGGTCAGCCAATAGAAGAGAACAAATGGTGTTTTTTCTGATCAAGGTTTTTATGAGCAGCCAGTGTGACTTTCAAAGTTTGCTTCATTACATACAAATACAGTCTTCCCTAACTTAGTGCTCTCAAGATGTGTTTGATTATGTTTCCCATTATTTCTGGGAAGTATGTCCATTAGCCATGCTGGCTGAAATGAAAGGAAGTAAATTAAAACATATGTGGAACCTTGCAAGGTAGTCCAGACAAGAAACATACCCAGAAGTACTAGCTGTATCTTTATCCCAAGGTTGCATTAAAAGAATCTTGAAAATCTGAGAGGGTACATTTGTTCCCTCTCATCTTTATACTCCACAAAATTAGGGAGGATCCCTTCTGAGACGTTTGCCATGTTCCCATTCCTTCTGTGGGCTCAGCTGCTGGCCTGTTATCTGACCATCACTTCCTCCTGTCTGTTCTGACCTAGGCTTCCCAAGAGCATGAAACAAACTCCTTATCCCGGAAAAACCCCTTTTATTAATTTGCTGTGAATTCTGCTCATTCACAGCTGGCAAAGTCTTTCAAAGGAGGATTTACGGTCACAGACCTTATCTGGCTTGGAGAGCTGACAGGCCGATGTCTGCAGAACTTGATGAACCAATTAGCGAACTAATTGTCTCCTGCAAACTCCACTCCCCTTTGGCTCCTCTTTTATTTCCTCTGGGAGGGGCCATTCATCATCTGGCCTTACTCCCAAATCAACCCTGTCCTTTAGCTGTTCCCTTCGTCTGGCAACTCTGTGCATGCACACACAGGGGACAGGCTCCAGCTGTTCGTCTGCCTCATTGATGTCTGACTCTGAAGGCAACTGATAACTGGCATA